GATGATTTAGTTGGTTTTGATCCTTCTTTGAGCAGGGGGTTGGACTAGATGACTTCCTGAGGTCTCTTCCAACCCTAATCTTCTATGACTCTATGATTATGAGATGTTTTGAGCTGCAGTACCATCACTATACTGTAGTCAGTTGGAGTTAATGGAATTGCATCCACCTACACCTGTTTGAATAGGGCACATTATACACCTGATTGCTCAGTTGGGTGCACAACTGGGATTGCGCTTTGGAGCTCATTTGTGCACATGACAATATTTAATTGGGTTTGTGCATGAACATTCATTTCCATTTACGTTGCTGACCGTGGTCCTGTTAGGAGGCTCCCCCATTCCCCACTTAGGCTGCAGAGGGAGTTTAGCCCGTCAGAAGAGTCAGATGCTTTGGAGGCTGCTTCCATCCCCCTCTAATCGGCCCAGACAAGCAGGTGCTTCAATGACTCCCTATGGAACGCCTCATAGACTAGTCACAGGCAGTATCTCTAGCTTAGTCTGCACAAGGAGAAGTTCCAAATGCTTTCCTATGGGGCCCCAAGTCTGTAATCACCCTGTGCTTGGGCACAGTCGTGGGCCATCCAGAGAGCTGTGGACGGGCCATGTACGAGGTGGCAGAACATATATCCAGAACAGCCTATATGCACTGTTGTGGTGTACAGAATCCAGTCCATCCTGCAGGCAGGACACAGGGCAGGTCTGCAGCCCCAGGCTGAAACCGGAGCCATGACACCTGGGCACCCCCTTCTCCTCTCACTTACACCAGTGTAAAATAGGAGTAACTATTGAAGTCAATGGAGTTTTGCTACTGTAAAACTGGTATCAGAGGAGAAGCAACCCCCCCCACCAGCTCTCCTCAGCCTGATGCTATTCTGTATTCTGCTCTATGAATAGCAAGCATGGAGCTAGTCATATGGAGTTCCTCAGCTATCTCACTCCACATTTGCCTTATCCAGTACAGTGGAAACACTGATTCCACTGACTTGGGGCCTGCTATGGCCCTTAGGCCTATGATGGAATTTTGTCACTAAACAGCTGATCCACCCTAACAAATGACATTGTAAAAAGCGCCTTCTAGGGTTCCATATTCATTGTAATATGTGGGCCAAATTATGTCATCAGCCACACCTCTGCCACCCATTATCTTCAGATTGTGTCCTCAGCGACACCTGTGCAACCCCATTAGCCTTAAATTAATCTGAGGGCATCAGTTGGCCTGAAGAACCTGTGATGAGTTTCAAGCAAACCAGCTCTAAACAGGGTTTTGTTGAGCCTCATAGCATAATTTGGATTTTAAACTAACCATAAAACCTGTTTCTTTACTGGGTGTGAATCAAATAACTAGTTTATCTGTTACAGATAGAAGGGGGAGTTGGGAATGGTGTCTCTGCTCATGTTGCTAGGAGGCTGGGGTTGGGCTAGAGAGAGGGTCCCTTGCGGAGCGTAGTGGGGTGGTGATTTAGGAAGGAAATGTTAATTCCTAATAGGGCTGGTTGGAAAACAATTCCATTTTGAAAAAAAAAAAGGTTTATGAAATGGGAGGCTATCACAGATACTCTACCCCCAAGCGTGCATACACTTGTTGTAGATTTTTTAGCAATAGCAAAAAATGCCATGAAGGGGTTATCTCATGTTTTTTCTTCTAACTGCGATTTACAGTAATCCATAGACGCTTGAAACTGAAATCTGGTTTCATATTACAAAAATTTGCCTTCTGTCACACACAAATTGATTTGTTATTGTAGGGTTGCTTATGAATTTGGGGCACCTGCTCTTGATCTTTCCTGTTTCATAAGAAGATCATTGAAGCATTTGGGATTTTGAGGGGGACGTTTGAACTGACATACCTAGCTCAATCATGCAAGGTGCTGAGCTTTCTGGTCCTAATCCAGCAAAGAATTTAAGCATGTGTTTAATTTTAACAGTGTGATTAGCATCATTGCTTTCCATGGGATGAGTCATGTATTTAAAACTAAGAATGTGCTTAAGTGCTTTGCTGGATCAGGGCCAGAGTGTTCAGCACCTTGCAGGATCAAAGCCAGAAAGAATTGCATAGAGTTTGTAGACAGAGGAGAAGAAAAGGTGAGTGACATTTCGGGCCTACTGACCTTGACAGTGTCCCTTAAAATTGTTGATCAAAAAATATTATTTTGAGACTGATTGAATCAAGGTTTTAAAGGGCATGCTAATAATTCTCTATCTAATGTAGCTATCTAGGGGTTCTTCATAATGCTCAGCATCATAGAATGCAAGCACTGCGTCTAGATCACCTCATACTGCACAAATAAATAAATAAGAAGGATATTGCATCATGAAACGTACTTTTTAAATAGGGGAGTTAGTTTTAACTGAATTTTCTTGGTTTTGTGTTTTTAATGTTAAATAATTAACATATAATCTGCATATCATTTGAGGGATTTATAATTTGATATGGGGAACTGGGGTTTTTTTTTGTTTGGAGTTTTTTGGGTTTTGGTTGATTGGTTTGGTTTGGTTTTTGTGGAGAGTTTGGACTAGGCTAGTCCAAAATAAAATTGCTGAATTCTAGGTCTGCTTTCCATTTGAATAATATTAAAAGACTGGGTTGACCTCTATGTCTCATTCATGCTACACATTCCCAGTAGCAATGCAGGAACTTCAAAAGGTTCAGAAGTTTAGCTCATGGTCTGATAAACATCAAGACTTTTGATTCTTAGCTGAACTCTATTGGAACATCTCAAGTCGGCAAAATGTGCCTCGAAATCTCAAGAGAATAAACGTGCTTGACAGATTTCTGGTACTTCTTGTCCCCAGTTGGGCTATAAATAGCACCACAACTCTTGGGATGTTTCAGCAGCTCTTTTCCTGGTTGTAGCAGGTGCAGATATGGATGAAAATGACAAATAACAGGAGATGTGGAGAAAAGTACCCAGACAGTTCTAAATTTCAAAAAAGGTTTAATTCGGCTGAAGTTTGGGGTAAAAGTTTGCATTACTAGTTATAATTTTATTCCAAACCACTTCACCCCTTCCAGATTTGCATCTACTACAAGAGCTTTAAATGGTGTGAATGAGTAATTTATAAAAAAGTAATAATACTTTGCACTCCTATAGAGCCTTCCTTGTGAGGATCTCAAAGCGCCTTAGAAACATTAATGAATTAAGTCTCCCAACACCACTGTTAACTAGGTATTCCTTGTCCCCATTCTACAGAGTGGGAAGCTGAGGCCCAAAGAGATTAAATGGTTTGCCAAAGGGCACACAAGAAGTCTGTGGCAGAGCTGGGACTGGAACACATCTCTTCATAGGCCTAGTCCTGGCCTGTCCTCTACAATGCTTCCTCTCCTTTTCCACATTTCAAGTTAGGAACACAGGTGTCTGACAGCATTTGGGGCCAAACCATCCTCTCTCATGACAACACACAGGAAGAGAAAAGCTAGGGGAAATTAAATAGAGGGCGGAGCACAGAGAGCCAGAATTTTAAAGGTATTTCAGTGGGTAAAGATGCGATAGGTGCCAAGGGGGATTTTCACACTAGGAATTCTATGGGAGTTAGACACCTAAGTGCTTTTGAAAATCCCACTAGGCCCCCATCTGCATCTTTAGGCACCAAAATACCTTTAAAAATCTGGCCCAGACGTCATAGTTCAAGGCATAGGAGTTGGACATAATCCTCTTTCCAAACATATGTCCTGAGATCTATGGGGGAAGTTCCATAGATTTTTAGGGGATTTTTGCAGACAGTCTCCTTTCCATGCTAAACTGTGAGCATCCCTTCCTAACCTTGGTGAGTCCATGCCTTTCTGCTCCCCCTTCAAGGTATGCAGCAGGAATTAACGCTGGAACTGTCAGCATTCACTCCCTCCGGAATTTCCCATGGAAATTACGTTGATTTGCTGGCAGATAATAGTGTAGAGGGCTGTCGGTTAGATTCAAACTGCTACCATGCTGACATATCCTTTCAATCCACAGAGCTCCAGATGGATGGTGTCTGTGTGGTGAGGCTTTGTAAGAAGGGGGGTGGGAGTGGATTATGTTGGTTCACCTCTCTACCTTCTCCTGTACGTTTACACAGCAGATTTTCATGCCTTCACCTCACCACTGCAGTGCAGTGCCTTTTTCAGTTTACTGGAGTGCATATGTAATTTTAGGTCTAAGAAAAGGCTCTTTGCCCCAACATGCCAATGGAGTACATGCTCTGCATGCATATAATAGTCATTTCCATTTTGTATTTATTCTGTGCATGGATCCACTTCCTAAATGGTTTACTTGACATAATGGAATAACAGCCTCCACAATTTCATTCGCAAAATAAAATCTGAGCCTGTTGTGTGTTATAAGAGCACCCAAAAAGTATCTGAAAACAGTGAAGCTTTCTGTTAGCTACTGGGAAAGACGAGACAGATATGGTTTGAATTTTCTTTTCTAGGCTGAAATTTTGTATTCTACATGTCAGATCATGAAGCAAAATTTATGGGGGAGTTATATGTTTCTTAAAGGGGGCCATTTATAATAGGAATAGACCTAAAAGCCTACCATTTTTAAAGAGTATAACGATTTTGGGAGCCTTAATTTTTGGATGACACCCTGAGGGTGCCTGATTTTCAGTGGTTGGGTGCTCCGCACCTAGTATTGGAGTAACTCAAAATCATTAGTCACTTTTGAAAAATCAGGCCTTTCAGCTGTGCTTGGGACCAAAGTCACCCCCATATAATTCCTCCTCGAAAGCTTTTTCAAGTACTAATTGTTTACTCCGTATTCATTCAGATCATTGATCTCTTTGGCTTTACTGCCCACACTAGGCATATCAGTGACTCACATTCTTAAGAGATGAACCTGAGAACGGTGGTTATTGACACCACTGCAATTTGCACAATAAAGTTTAACAGTTTACATCCACTGTACAGCTTTATCAATGTTTTCAATGTATCACCAGCTCAGTTTATTGGTACTTATGCATACATTGATTCTTTCTCTCTTTCTCTCTCTTTTTTTTTTTTTTTTTTCTTCTGGTTCCCCAAGCATGCAAACGCAAAGAACAAGAACCGAATAAAGACAGGAACAATTCCCAGAAGAAATCTCGTCTGGTTTTCACCGATCTCCAGCGCAGAACACTTTTTGCCATCTTCAAAGAGAACAAACGTCCATCCAAAGAAATGCAGATCACCATCTCCCAACAGCTGGGCTTGGAACTTACCACTGTCAGTAACTTCTTCATGAACGCTAGGAGACGCAGCCTTGAGAAATGGCAGGATGATTTGAGTACAGGGGGATCCTCTTCAGCCTCCAGCACTTGTACCAAAGCATGATTGAAGAAAGGAATCTAAATTAGGCACAACTCAACCATAAAAAAGAGGAAAAAAAGAATGAAAGGAAAGAAAAAGTATGGATTCTGAGTGGGGCCCTTCACTGGTGATTTGAAAGCACAATTCTCTTGGAAAGTAATTCTAGTCTAGTTGTAAACATAGGACACTTTTTTAATGGCTATTTAGTCAGTTTTAGAAGGCGCAAATCACAAATTAATCTCTTTCTATATAGTATTACATTCAAGACAGGCTAAGCATATCCAAAATATAAGTGGGTCATTCATGACATAAATTTTTCCTGAGAGCCAATGAAGACTTAAACTATGGATCAGCATTTAAGGCGATGGGAGTACTGCAGGATTGCCCAGAGTTGGTAGCTAAACAGAAATGCAAACATGTCTGACCTACTTTGTTTTCCAAATGCTTAGGCTTGCCACACCACAAAATACCAAAGCTCACACCCATAACATGACAACATGAGAACTGAGCACAAATCTTAAAAGATGGAAATTGAAAAATCCAAGAACCTGTTTTGTAATCTCAGGCATTGTTTTGTTTAGATGTTTTAGAAAAAAAATTGATCCAATTTTATGTTTTGGGTTTATTTTTTAAACTTATCAGTGAACACTCACATGGTCTTGGATCACTAAAATTCAGTTCACTTGAGCTCAAAGTATCAAGCACAAAGACAATAGATACAGAAATAGAACGGTTCTGGACTTGCTACATCTGTTCTTTCAAGACACTCTAATTTATGAAGTTGTTAATGAAAAGTATGTGACCACACAAGCTTCAAGCACATTTTGCTGTTTGTCACAAATTCTGTGTTTGTACATAATGCAGATGCACACTCAGGAGGTCAATTTAACTGCTACAGTGCATGGAGCAAACACAACACTTTGAGAGAGCTAGATTTCCTTAGGTCATCAATATGTCCTTTTTAGTTATTAGCATGTAGTTTCTCCTTATAATTTCATTGTTACTGAAGTCTATTTAGGTGGGTTTTTTTAAAATTGATGCATTCTGTATTAGAGTTCCTTGGTATTTTCTTAGCAGAAAAAAAGCATCCACTTTCAGGATGTCACTGACCATTTAGATGTGCTGCATATGACTTAAATATGACATCAAAATCTATCACATCTCCATTACCAATTCATTTAACCTGAAGAGAACACAGTACACCAAAGATGCAGTATATTGCAAGCCAAAGACATTTATAACTTGCCATTTATTTTCATCATCATCATAGTATTGTGATTATTTTAGAAATCAGAAAGCCTTGCAAACTCCAAAAAAAGTACAACTCTATCATTTTAGTTTGCTGTACAATTGAGCAGAAAGTGGATGCTGACAAAATTAGCAAAGTCGTGAGTGGAGTAGCAGAGCTAACAGGGCCATACTAGCTGCAGTTACAGTAGTCTTCAAAGAGCATAAACAATCCTTATCACTGAAATTGTTATGGTCACTTGATGTGCATATTTACCAGTGAATGGCCCCTTTTGAAACACCAATTGAGTGTTCAAAAGCAAGCCAAACGCTGTAATGATTCTTTAAAGACACTTGAGACTTTTTTATGTACTACTTAATCGAAACCAAAGAAACTTTTTCTGCACCTACTTCTTCTGCAACAAACTGTTCCATTTTAATAAAATAAAATAAAATAAAAAAACCAAGGAAGCACGTCAGGAAACAAAAACAACACAACACACTGTGTTTTGACAGACATCTTGGACATTTTAGGAAGCAGATTTCAAAGAAAGGGTTGACAAGAATGAAAACAAAGTAAAGCCAATGTGAGTGCTGCTTCATCTGACAACTCAGTAATCTTAAAGTTGAAGATTGTCTTTAATTTGTGCCTATGCAGTTTTTTCAAAAGAACAAGGAACAGAGCAACCGAAACCTCAACAGCTACAATACCAAAGATGAGGATTTCTCACAACTTTTGTTTCAGTTCATTATCTCCTCTTGCACGGCTAAAATGCTTATAGCACCATTGATCTGTGTAAAGGTAATCAATTCTGTTTCTTTGAGCAACAAAAAGGGTGGTTTTTATTTTTTTATTTTTTTTTCTGTTTCTCCCCCCACATGGAATCTTTCAAGGATTCCATGGACTCCAAGTATAAGGTGTTGGGATACTAAACTAATCTGTCTTCTCTGTCCATAAGAGTATGTGGGAAAATGTGTCAATTGAATATTATTTGTTTTTTTAACAGGTAGAATTGTTCTCTTGTATGTTCAGAGCTTTAAACAACCATCCCATATGGGAAAAAATGCTTAACTGACCAGATCCTCTTCCCCTTCCCCTTAAATGAATTTCGCAAGATAGGTACTGAAATACTTCATTGTAAATACTGAATATCACTAGAGATGAGCCTGAATCACAAAGATCAGATCTAGAATTCAAACTGGATCAGAGCTTCCAATAGTTCAGGTGGTTTGCATTCATTGTTCTGGTTTGAACCATTATACTTCCAAATAATGAAATTCGGATCCAGGACCAAATCTGAATTTCCTCAAATTTGGGGGGGGGGGGGGGAGGGAATCTGAGAAGGATTGTAACCAGTGTCTCAATTCAACTCCATCTCTACACATGACTTAGGGCTTCTTTTCAAATAACACTGCATATAAAAGTTTAAATATAAATATAATCAGTTTCTACAGTTTACATTTTTTTTTAAGAAAAGAAAGAAAAACCGAAAATGTTTCTGTACCAGAAGGATAGTTAGGACCTTTCCTTAGAAATAAATTCAAGATGGCTACCTAGGAATCAGCATCAGCAACTAACCTGATAAATGCTAGCTTTGGGGGGAAATTATTCTTTCCACATAACTCTTTCCCAGAGAAGGTTGGTCATACATGAGTCTCCAAAGAACAAGGGAAGCCTCATTATCAGAGATGGAACTGAGTTGCAAAAGCCAGATCTGGACTCACACTTTTCCAAGGAATCAAGGTGTTGGGGTTTAAGGTTTTGATTTGGCCCATAATAGAAAGAGGGTCCAGCTTATGAAGCTTTGATCCAAATCTAAACTTCACGTTCAAAGTTTGGTATGAAGCTAGTGTTCAAATCAGGGTTGGTTTGAGAATGCCTATCTCCACGCATGTCTTGCATATGATCATTGACCATACTAGCAATTTTCCATCCTAATACTGCTGTTCTTCATTTTCTAGCAGTATTATACAATGCTGCTTTTCTTATTGTTTTTCTCATATCCCATTCCATAATGTTATATACCCTTCGCTGTTCTATAAAGGGGATGGACATAGTACTTTAGTTAAAGCACAGAATGTCATTTCTTAACCTCTTTTAGATTACTGTCAATTGTCCTTATGATTTCAATTAATTGATATGTATATCTGACAAAAAATAATATCCCAGCCATCATTTAAGGAATGTGGTCAAAATGAGCTGTCCATGCCAAAGTAAGTTTTCCATACAGATGGCCTTCTAACATTAAGCACATCCACCTGGTGGTGGGTTCTGTCTTTTGTTTAACGTCTCCTTTATAATCAAGGGGAAAGTGCCATGTTTCCCATATGAGGTTTTTATGCTGGAAAATTAGAGTGATTTGTAAACTTTTAACGAGTAAAAGGAGAAAAGTGAGTAAATTCTCACAACTTCAAAGACCATTTTACGTCATATGCACTAAAGCCCAAGGAATTTTCTAGAAATTCCTGCCACATCTCTTTCTTATTGTTTGAGGCCAGATTCTAGTACCCCGACCTTTGCTGAGTAGTATTGCATTCTGTGAGCAGCCTTATGAATTTCAATGGGACACCTTGTGGCATATATTGCTACACAACATGAGAGAATCAGAATCAGGTCCTTGATTGTTTCAGACCAAAATAGCATAATTTATTGTCAAAAATCTAAACACCCTTTAGGCTTTATTTGTCTCATCTCATCAATAAAAAATACAGCAGATGCCCAACTATCGCTGGAAAGAGCATGGCCAGGAAATTTGTGTCTAAGCTTCATATCTCATGGGAGTATGCAAAAGCTGTTAACCATGCAATGAAAAAGAGCTATTTTTATTCAAGGATGAGTGTAAGTCTTTTTTATTTGACTCTAGGCCAGCAGCTGCAGCCAGAACAATCCAGGTTAAATACTGAATTATTAACAAACAAAAATTATCCTTAAGATAAAATGTGATATTTTTGATTCCCTGCAAATGTTTGGATGTGCTTGGTAGACAATATAATGGCTCAAATTCCAATCTTTAAATTTAAACTACTAGAAAACAATCACACACTGGAAACAACATATTGATTTTGCTGTTATGATTAGGGTTCCAACCCTGCAGCCTTTGCTCAAGCAAAATTGCAGCGTAAGATTTTGCCTGAGAGAGGATTGCATTTTGAGGCCATGGCCATGTCAATGTTCCTATTATATGCCTATTTGTCAAAAATGATTTTGATATGGACATATGAAAATACTGCTGCATTTTTGACTCCCATATATTTTATCAACCCATATTAAGTCTTCCATTTCATTGTCAACTGTAGCAGGCTTTTATGTAGCATAACTCAGAAAACGAGTGTTAACAGTATAAACTGAGTGTAGATATATATGTGGATATGCGTACACATATGTATGATATACAGTATATTCTGTTTATTCTAAAAAAAAAATCCAAAATGTGCGTGTTTCACTTATATGCCATCTGTTTATAACTCTCTATAGCTATATGGCTATAACTTGTATCTTTTTTGTTTATTTGTTTGGATCCAAAAAAACTAATGTAAAAATAGTATCCCAGCATCTTCTTTACTATATACTTGGAGTCACTATCATGGGCACATCCAAGATGAATTCAACTTTCAAGAACCCTTGGATATTGTTTAATCATCTCTGAAGGAACAAAGAATGTGCTTGATTACTTCGGTTGAATAGCTTTATTCTGGATCTCTCTTAACTAAAGCTAAATCCAAAGACCTGAGAAGGACTAAACCAGCAAAGCAAAGCTCAAACCTACTTAAGGGAATAGGAATCTCCTCTTCCAAAAGGAGACATGGTAATGACATAGCTTTGGAAAGGTTGTGCTAGCTATGGGGGGCGGGGGGGCAAATCTGATGTTTTTCTTGCTTGTCACAACACCTGAGTATTTTTAAAAGTGGGAAAACTTTATAGATTATACTGGGCCTAATTTGTATTTATTAAGGGGAATTTTTATTGTTTAAAATTTTTTTTAAATGGTAATCTTTGAATGATTTTTTTTCCTGACTCTTTTGGGTTGTGACCCAATATATTAACTATCAATGATGTACTTTATTTAAATTAGTCTCAGACCAATCCTGACGTCTTTATTCAGGCTAAATCTCCATATGGCTTCATTTTATTTTAATATTCAGTGGGAGTTTTGCCTGCTTACAGACTGCAGGAACAGGCTCAAGTGATAATCTTTTGTAACTATTTAATTTAATTCATTCCTGATTACTTTGTCATTTGAGTTAATTTTACGTATTTATCAGTTCTAGAATTGTAGCGCATCATAGATGCAATGCTTATATTAGTATATATACTTTAAAGTTAGTATTGCTTCATAAAGCAGCCAAGTTCTGTTACAGACAGGGAAAAATAACAGGTTAAAAAGGGATTTTTTAAGTTTTATTTCTTCTTTTAATCGATTTAAATTGTTTAAATATCAGTAATTAAATTATTTAAGTTAATCCCCCTTCCCATCTCATTAGAAAGTGGGACGTACCTTTAATTATTATGACACATGAAGCCTTCCCAATATACCTTATTTATTTAACTTATTCAGCATCTGCGAAAGATGCCCTTGTATAGTTTTATATTTTTTATTTAAAACAACTTAAAGCACTACAGTTTATTTTCTGTCAGAACAACAGAGCGAATTTTGTGGACAAGCAATGAATATTCAACCTATAACTGTGCATTCAGAAACAATAGAAAAAAGACACTGAGATACTTTGCCTGAACTTTGTGGCTTCTGAAAACTTAAGCTGGGGGAAAAAATATAACGACAAGCAAAAACAGAGAAACCCTTAAACTAGCTGCTTCCAAGAATGAACTCTGCGTGTGTGGGGGGAAAAAAAGAGGAAAAACAAAGAAAAAAATAAAGAAAAAAACCTTTCTATTTCTAGTGAGAACCAAAGAGGCTACCTCACTGACTTTTTCCATTTGTAATTTTAATCGTGTTGATGATACCAAAGATACCAAAGATTTCTTTCTCTGTGCGGTCTGCATTTTGCTCGTGCTCTTTTATAGTTTTCACCTTTCTCTCTTACATACAGTAATGTACAGCTGCAACTCAGATACCCCAAAGAAATTCCTGTAGTGGGGGCTGCTAATTCTGATGAGGGCATTTTCTGTGTTTATCTTATTCCTTCCTGCCAGCTAAAAATGTCCAAGGCCAAGTCAGGCAAGTTCAGAGCTTGGTAGAACCACTTTACTTCTCACACCTGCCAAATTCAATTGGTTGGAACAACTGTGTTGACTCTTGGTTGGTATCTGATTTTTGTTCTTTGACTGTTACCTTGGTAAAATAAATCTATATCCTGTTATCTTGCCAAATGCAGAACTCCATCTGAAATATTTGGGGTTTTTGCATTTGAATCAATTGCAGAAATTGGACCAGGGTCTCTCTCTCTGTTTAACAACGTTATGGGTCTGATCCTGTAGTCCTTATTCAAGCAAAACTCCCATTGACGGTCCTTAGAGATGTAAGTGCAGTATCAAGAATCATCAGGAGAAAGCCACACAGTTAAGAAGGTACTTCTCTCTGTTCATTGCATGATTTAGTAGATGCTCCACACACAGGGCTTCCATTTATTTCAGTGGGAATGATATACGTGGGGCTCAATCCTGCAGACTCACACAAGTATCTCTAATTCACATAAAGCCAGATTCTGCTGAAGTACAGCACTATTTTTAGTGGATGGTGGAGAGGTCAGGAAGTAATTGCTGCCCTATGCGAAGTGTTGCATACGTGACTGTGTGCATTATGGGATTTTTTTAATTTTTTTTTTTACTTCCTGTAAAACATCAGGCATTGGGTGCTGCAAGAAGCAAAATACCAGATTAATTAGGGTATGTTTACACTGCAATTGAGTGGTGTGATTACAGCAGGTGTAGACAGAGCTGAGCTAGCTTGAGTAACCAAACAATAGCAACGAAGCCAGGGTAGCCCAGTCGACTGCATGGGCTAGCGCCATCCGCCCAGGGCCCTGGGTACATAATTGAGCAGAGCTGTCCAGCGTGCCACAGATTCACTGCTTTTGTTATGTCTACATGTGCTGCAATCACACCTCCCAACTGCAGTGTAGACATAGGTCAGTGAATCAAAGATCAAACCTAGTACAGTAAATCTTCTGGACCAGAGTCTTATCTTAATAGCCCCAGTGTAAATCTGGATCTCTCTCAAGAAGTCATGGAATTACTGAGATTTTACACCAGTGAAACTGAGATCAGAAACCAGCCCTGAGTTTCTAACCAACATTTTAGATACAAGAGAAACAAAGGCTGCTTTCTCATTTTTTTTCTTTTTTACAATTACATTTTTTTCACATTCTCATCTGTTGAGTTAATTATTTTTTCTCAAGTTAGCAGAGAAATGAAGACACATTATGCTCCATTAATAAGATGCTCCTAAGTGATTACTTAAAAGTTGTTTGC